ACGGTGACTCTGGCAGCAACTAGCTCAGCCTGACCTCAGCTCTTGCCTTTTTCCTTTTACATTTTTTTTTCTTTTCATGATAACAGTGGTGAGGCTCTGCCTCCCCTGCCTGGTGAGCTCTACCATGCATGCATGTGCGCCTCCTGCCGACCAACTGGTCTTTAGGCCTCTGCAGCGCATGTGCAGGGGGCGGGGCCTTCCCAGATCTCCGCAGGCTCCCCCCCCCCGGGGCCCCCTACTTTTCTCCTCCATTTCTGCCTGCCTGCACCAACCTGCAAGCCAAAATGGGGCATGGGGGCACGGCGCGAGGTGCCCATTTTTGGCCTGGAAAGCCTCCTGCACCAACCTGGAAGCAAAAATTGGGCATGGGGTGCTTGCATTGCATTTGGGGGATTGAGGCATGCACATGTGCATTCACACATATTATGGGCCCTTGGGCACCCAAAAGGTTAACCATATTTGTAGCACAAATGGCAAGGATTGGATACAATGCACCTTCTCCATTTTGTGGAAATGGATTCCCAGAAGACAAGCGCCGAACATGGCTATATCAGGTGCGCAAGAGAGTTACGGTATTATCTTCTCCATTCAGCAACTTGGGTTCAAAGTATGAGTTAAGAGCAGCCGATCGGCTTTTTAAAGACGTTGTAGGAAAGGAACCACACTAATCTATAGCAGTCAAAAATCGGGTTCTGGATTAGCTTCTCATGCATCTATTGCTTCTGCATCTGATAAAAGTGAGGTTTGCTTCACCAAACGTTATGCTTCTTAATACAATTTGTTAGCCACAAAAGTTGCTACCACACTTTTCTCTTTTGAAGTCAAAGGCAGACAGTGTCCTTGAGGAAATCCTGTCTCCTTAATTCATGGTCCGGCTGTTCTTTCTTGTATACAACATTCACAAAAACTTCCTGGGAAAGGACTGAATGTTGTCAGTTGGAGAATACAGGCGTAACTGTTGGCAAGTTATTCTCAGTTCAGCCCTGAGCATCTCTCATTTCCAGGGTGGATACAAGAAACCTATTTTAGATGTGGGAGAACTGTTATCAGTCAGAGCAGACATTATTGTAATTGTCATAATCTTTTCATAAGAAGGTGAAGTGACAGCTGTCAGTTCTTTACTTTGTTTTGGCCTTCATATGTATCATTTCTTTCCAATAACGTATGACGTAATGTATTTATGTGGGGATCCAAACAATGTGGCCTTTTGCAATTGAACAGGTGGATATTTTTTTTCTGCATTCAAATTTTGTAAGTGCCATGCAAGATTTTTGGTATGCCATCCAGTGTGCTGATAATCATTGGGACCAGACCACAGCCAGTTTATGCCATGATCTTTCAATTTCACTTTTCAGATTTTGATAGTTTGTGATCTTTTCCAATTCTTTGTCTTCTACTATTTCCTGGTGTTGCCACATCAATTATCTAAATCTTTTCTTTTCAACCACATTTAAATCTGGTGTGCCGTGAGTCAATATGTTATCAGTCTGTATCCAGAGACCACACAATATTTTAACCTGCATATTTTTGACTACCTTTTCAAATTTATGTTCCCACTAATTTCTCTTTTACTTGATAATATTTACAATTGTTCCAATGAATCATTGTGACTGTGTTATATCATTGTTTATCATCAGCTTGTGTGGTTTTCTTGCACAAGCTGAGTATATGATTTACTGTTTTGCCTCCTTCTTTGGATAACCTGCACTTTGAAACATTTGATTCAGTTCTGCCCTTGATTACATTGATTTGAATAGCTTGCTCTTGAGCAGTCAAAATTTAAGCCTTCAGTTTCTTTTTTTTAATATTCCAGCTGTAAGCCATTGTCAGATTTTATATTTATTCACTTTCTACTCAATCTTTTGTAAAGATTGACCATTTAATGCTTTTCTGTACCAGCACCATTGTTTGCATTCCATTATTTCAATATTCACTTATTGTTACATTTCAATTTTTAACTTGGTCAATGCTTGTTCTTGGCTTTTATATAATCAGCCAATGCGTAATTATCATCTTTGATAGCTTGTTTGATCTGAAATAAACCTCTGCCTCCATTTCTATGGGGCAGATATAATCACTACAGGGATGTAATGCGTAGTGAATTGTCATCAATTTTCTTAA